GATTTTAGATTTAATTATCTGCATCATTTTTATAAGAATTATATTTATATATATCATATTTTTTATAAAACAGAAATAGTTTAGAAAGATTCTCATATTGCATATTTACTTAAAAGACATTTCACATAGAAAAGTACACTCTCTTTTTTCTGATATTAAGTGCCAAAAATCAAAAGTGCAAAGATGCATTTAAGTTCAACGTCGAGAATTTTTTACTGTATCGCAATTTTTAATTCGATTTAACACACAATTCGTTGATAAAGTAAATTATTAGCTTGTCATAGAACACCTACCTGAATGACTTTTTGGTAAAGGTGGCAGGTTCGTAATCTCCGTAGTATTTCCGAAAGGTGCCCACAATCTAGGGAACATTAAACGAACATTGCATCCTCCTGAAAGGAATAATGCCAACAATTTAATAATGCCACAATTTAATAATATTATTAAGATAGTTACAATAAATAAATAATTAATTAAATTTACTTATATTTAAAACAATTAATTAAATAAATATAAAGATTCTCTTTCATTACATTCAAACATTGATTTTTATTTTATAGATTTATTAATAACAGAGAAAAATTAAAAATTTCTGTTAGATATATTTTTTAAAAGTTAAATGGATAAATTTTCGCTTTCTCTCTTGTATTAAAATAAAAAGTTTTTAAATGTTATATATAAGTATAGTCGAATTATACGTCTAGATTTATTATAGTTGAATATCTCTGAGAGACAATGGGTACGCGAAATCCCCGATATGAGAAAATGGTGATTCAAATGTCGAAACAATCGCGTATTTTTCCCGATCGTTTATGCATCGTTACTTCGCCAACCACGCTGTAGCGACGTCTCAAGTCTTGACAAATTTAGTATTCCTAGCTCGTAGGAAAGATCAACCCCTCGACAAGAGCGTCTTTATTAGAAAGGAGGAGAAACCCTCCTCTATTTATCAACCTTGCCCCGGCCATTACTCGCTCTCTTTCTCCCCGAAACCTGCATTCCTATCCCCGAACGTTCGCCATTCATCCTGGTTGCTTTCTTTGATCGTTCTGGTGGAGCATCAAAGTTCTAACTTCACGCCAATTCGCCATCCTGATGATTAATCAAACAAACTAAATCCTCGTCCTTTGCTTGTCGTAAGGAATGCGAAGAACTATGCGTCATATCTAATTAATATTGACGCAATTATATTGATATATTACAAGATTTATAATAAATATAATTCATTTATAGAGAGAGTAACTTTCTCATGGATAATTGATAAATAATCGCAATTGGATGTAAATTTATTGCAACCGATAAAATCTATTGATAAATCGACAAGTTGATAAAATCGATGTTTTAATTACATCTAGTTTGTAATTTTTATATATTCGTTATCTTTGTATTATTAACATGGATAAAAAATATATAAATATTAATATATTCGTTATTTAATACTAAAAAAAAAAATTGGCAATTTCCGATATTACAAGAGCATAAAAACAAAGAAATCGTTACACATACACATATAACTATAGCAATGGGAAGTTAATTACGTCAATCAAGGAGATATATTTTTTAAAAGTTAAATGGATAAATTTTCGCTTTCTCTCTTGTATTAAAATAAAAAGTTTTTAAATGTTATATATAAGTATAGTCGAATTATACGTCTAGATTTATTATAGTTGAATATCTCTGAGAGACAATGGGTACGCGAAATCCCCGATATGAGAAAATGGTGATTCAAATGTCGAAACAATCGCGTATTTTTCCCGATCGTTTATGCATCGTTACTTCGCCAACCACGCTGTAGCGACGTCTCAAGTCTTGACAAATTTAGTATTCCTAGCTCGTAGGAAAGATCAACCCCTCGACAAGAGCGTCTTTATTAGAAAGGAGGAGAAACCCTCCTCTATTTATCAACCTTGCCCCGGCCATTACTCGCTCTCTTTCTCCCCGAAACCTGCATTCCTATCCCCGAACGTTCGCCATTCATCCTGGTTGCTTTCTTTGATCGTTCTGGTGGAGCATCAAAGTTCTAACTTCACGCCAATTCGCCATCCTGATGATTAATCAAACAAACTAAATCCTCGTCCTTTGCTTGTCGTAAGGAATGCGAAGAACTATGCGTCATATCTAATTAATATTGACGCAATTATATTGATATATTACAAGATTTATAATAAATATAATTCATTTATAGAGAGAGTAACTTTCTCATGGATAATTGATAAATAATCGCAATTGGATGTAAATTTATTGCAACCGATAAAATCTATTGATAAATCGACAAGTTGATAAAATCGATGTTTTAATTACATCTAGTTTGTAATTTTTATATATTCGTTATCTTTGTATTATTAACATGGATAAAAAATATATAAATATTAATATATTCGTTATTTAATACTAAAAAAAAAAATTGGCAATTTCCGATATTACAAGAGCATAAAAACAAAGAAATCGTTACACATACACATATAACTATAGCAATGGGAAGTTAATTACGTCAATCAAGAAAAGTTACGACTCGACCGACAAATGATTATGCTATAATCCATATTTTTACATAAGTGCAATAAAATATGAAATCCGAGTTTTATGATGAGCGTGATCGAGAACCTATCTAATCGTTCAATTCAATCGCACTAAATCAGATTTATCTTCTTTTATATCAATATCGTATGTGTCACTCAACATTACTTTATTTCACTATTGAATAGATATAAAAAAATCTATTAATTGAAAGTGAAATGCAGAATAAAATTTTTACCAGTGACGAATACAATTATTAATGTAAGGTATAACTATGCCAGAAACGTTTATTTTGATAATAATGAATGTTTGCATCTTGATTATATATAAATTGCAAGTGTCTAACTTTAAATTAACATATATGAGTTGTAATTATAATTTTATATAATTAAAAGCATTAAAGCTAAAAAGCCTTATATGTTTTAGAACTAGAAAATATATTAATAATTGATAACACAATTCTCTCTACATCAAATATATAATGTAATAAAAATAAGATAAAAAATTAATTATACAAAGATAAAAAGACATGTTTTGATAATAAAAGTTGAGAGCACACACACACAATATAAAAATATTTTTGTATTTAGTTATAATAAATATTTGCAAAATAATCATTTTTTCTTGAGTAACTCTCGATAATCGGAAAGATCAATCGATCGATGACGATCAGTTATACCAAGAATTGACAAAAAAAAAAAAGAAAGAAAAAAGAAACGACAGAAATCCGTAATCCAGGCAATATATGACCGACTGGGATAATCTGAGATAGCATGAAAAGATTAGATGCTTCACGCCGCAAAGGCTATTTCATTCTCGCAGGATTATCAGAAATAAATCATATTTTCCTATATAGCAGGCGCTTGAGATAAGATGTGGTCGAGTGTAATAATATTGATACGCGTGTATACACAATGCAGGTAACGCGTGTTTGTCAGCCAGCGAGAGCATCGGCGATATCGGGCCGTTTGCTCGTGCGACGCTTATCCTGCGTAGCCTGTTTCGCGCGCTATCGTCCCGTCATAAATTTATAAAACCAGCGTGATTCTTTGCCGTCGGAAATCACCAACGAAAACAGCTTGGATCGATTGGCAGATTTAAAGAATCCAGAGGATCTTTTACAATCGAGAAAATCGTCTTGAGCCAAAATCTATTTACGCTGAAAGATTTCTGTGTGATAAAATATAAAACAGGATATATATAAATAGAATACACAATGTATTGAAAAAAATATACATTATAAAATTGAATTTAAAAAAATTGGCATATAAAAAGATGTTATTTTTCAATAAATAAATATATAAATTTACACAAATACATAGATTTAATATTTTTATATTGATTCTTTTGTATCTTTTTAAAATTGCTCTGTTAAAAATGTCATAAGAGATATAAATCTGAATTCTCGCGCAATCAAGGGAAGCAACTAGCAATAATTTTTGAACAAATATATAAATATATATTTAAATAGGTATACTCGCATTCTTCTAAGCTTCGTAGTAAATGGATGTGCTAAGTGTGTCGGAAGAGAAGCAGTCAACCCTCTCGACGTGCTGCCTATCACCTGGCAATTATCGCTTAAACCGTTTAGCTCGACGCTTGTAGCTCAATATTATTGCGTTTAGCCTTGTTACCGCGATTAGTAGCGGGATATTAGGGTATAGGCAGCCGTCTAATACCAACTATCCCCTCTCACCTGTTGAACAGACGTTGTGCACAACGACAGCCCCTACGTACGCACCTGCACGCGTGTGTGTCCGTGCGTGCGCCACTCGTTCCAAAACCGCGTGCGATTCACTCGCGGGTGCGTGGCACAAGCTCAGATGTCGACGCGAGCTACCGCGTAAACGCCACGTTGCAGGGGTAATAGGCAGATAATGGATAGGATGATGACAGGCGGGGGTGATAGGCACGGAAGAGGGTGATTGTCCGGGGTATCAGTGAGACAGTTGAAAACGTCAAAGGCTTGAGCGCGATATGTATTTCGGCTGGTTATTTTGAATATAGGTTTCCTCCGCGGGGAATGTTGTCAGTATGTATCGCGTTTCCGAGCTTGATTGGTTTGCGGGGGTGTTCCGGTTAGAATAATTGATGGCACTGGCTTTTCAATTGCCATAATGCACCGTCTATAAGTACGCGAGTGTAAGTGAATGAAAGATAGATAATTAATTCTAAAAGTCAATTCTTTTTTTTATTTTTTTGACAGAAATTTATGTAAAAATAGATATCAAAAATTTTTGCGTTTTTTTAAAATAGTTTATCTAACTTAAAATTATTTTTATATATTGTATCAATATCACGTATCACATTTTGTTACATTAAATTATCTTTCGTGATAAAATCGGTATAATTAATGAAAAAATTGCTCGACTCTTGTCTTTTGATTATAAAAATACTAATTGTAAGAGTGCCATGAAGCTTTATCACGAGAAAAATATTTGAATTAAAGTCTTAAAATTGTGACGAAGGATAATATCTTATGTAATTGCATAATTATTGCAATCGCTAATATTTTAAACTTAACGAATCATTCAAAAAAAACCTTACCTTCACTATCGATTGGTATCTGCGAGTTTTCCTGAAGATTCTCATTGTTGTTGGTTTCCGGCGGCAGCGGTTGTTGATGCACTAGTGACGAAGCCGGTTGCTTGGGCTTGACAACTCGAAACGCCGATGCCTCGGCAACTCCTCGTCTCGAAAAGTCTAGCGGACCCACCCCGACAGGCGAGTGTTGCTGCTGCACTTCCATCATCCTGGACCTCGAGTCCGTTCACTCTCTTATAACTTTCGCGTCACTGCACACGACATTCGCATTCTCCTCCACCACGCTGATGATTCTTACGTTTCCTCAGCAATAAATAAACATACACAGTATTGTTTAATTTCTTCAACGTAACTAATCGAAAAGTCCTTTCAAAACCGTCGGCGGATCTGTCTCTAAGAGTTCTCCAGGAGAAAGAGATGACAATTGTTATCACCGTTTCTTCGGTGATTTTTTAGAAAAGAAAATTCTCTTTTTAAACAGCAATACGCGCGATTAAGTGCGTTCAGGAAAATTCTTTCTCAGAACTATCTGTTCGCGGATTTCATACTTCCAAGGATTATCAACGTCAATCTCATAATAACGTATTCAGCACAAACACTAAGAGTTTTTTTCGTCTACGTCTTTCGCGGGCACTCGAAACCGTCCGCGATTTATCAACACGTAGATGGATCCTTGTAGGACAGCTCCTACCGACTTCGCGACAGTAAATACGTTTGGCACAGAAGACGCAGCTTCCGGTTGTGAGCGACACTGATTTCCGTGCAGTCCATCGGCCGGATAGGACAGGTCGAAAACGGCGGAGCACCGGCTGAAGCCCGGGGATGTGAGAGACGTTAGCCGTTAGATCGGGTGCCTCGACGCCGACTGCTGTTAACGGGTCTGATAGTGGAGAGACTCCCATGCGATGACGGCCGCGAGAGCGGCGGATATAAAGAGGGAAAGAGACGGACAGAGTTACACGAACAACACACACATTGTCACAGTCCATATGGAGAGGGAGAACACCCACACACAAATGTCCGATGCACATCAAGATTTTGGTCCCGGACTCCGCCCCCGGGCACGCCCTCTCAGTTCCTCCCTCATCCACATACAAACACACACACACACACCAGATCATTCTCGTGTACTTGTGGTGGTGCACGTACAAACCAACACGCTGAAAATGGTCGATCCATGAAAGCGAGTGGGGTAGCTACGCTACCGAACGCTACCGGGAGTCGCTGCTCCGAAGCCGCGCGAGGGGTTGCTGATGGGGTTCTTCACGTCCGTGTGTACGTACGCGTGTATCTTCGGTTAGGTGCGCTTACTGGATTCGCGCGCGCGTTCACCCGAATTGCACGGCCACCGAACACGAGAGATACACGTTGCACGCTACGTTCTCTCACCTCCGGTTGCAGCATTATGTGGAACCACTCGGCCACCCTGATTCCACTCTTGACTCCACTGATTGATATTTGCGCGCTGCCCTCGCACACTTGAACGTACGTGCACGTACGGCGCTCGTCCCTCAACATTCATCGTAAAGGTGGATGCTGGATGCAAAGAGCGAACTTAGAAAATTTAGGCAACGGGAAGCGAGAGGTTGCGCTTTTATGGCCGCGAGGGTGATCCTCGATATTTCTTGGGAGATGAGATTTCGAAGGAGATGAAATCTTCGCGCGCTTGTGGTTGAGAAGTTTCAACATCACGTCTATCGCTCTTTCAGAGAATTGTGCTCTTAGATGATATTGGTTTGAGGAAGCTAAAGATTTGAGAGAAAGGAGGATAAATGAACTTTGGAGAATTAATTGTATGTGAAGCTTACAGAATCTAATATATTGTGCAATGCGATAGTAATTAATTTATGTAGAGAGAGAAAAGCATAAATTTTACATAATTTCTTATAATCTGGCAACTTGTCACGATGGATTTAGATTGCGAGTTCGGAAATGTTAAAAAGATATTAAATTTTGACAACAATTTTTTATAACAGATTTTTTTCTCTGTTATAAATATAAGTTTACTATAATCTTAACTTTCAGAAAAGTGAGTTTATATGCTCGATATAAGAACGTCGAAAATCTTTTACGATACGCTTTGAAAGAATAAATCCGACACGATATCAGGCAGCAATAAAGTTTATCAAGCATCAAACAGTTTTAACGTTTAATCGCTTGCCGAAACAGCGAACTGACGTGACTTCCGTCTGATAATCCAGAATTTTCGGTGCAACGACACTTCGGGTATCCCGATAAGGTACTGTGTGCAATAAGCTTAACTTTTTGTCGTCAGAAATATTCGTCGTGTCATTGCATCTATCATCGTTTTTTGCACATTTAATATTGTGCGCATACAAAACGCATATAAAACGAATCAAAAATCCTTTAATGCATTAATCATATCGATTAAATTATTTCGCTTCTCCTACCTACGATCTTTCGGCTCGATAAGAGACAAGATTATGCGTTTTCATTTTTTGTACGCTTATCTATCATGATAATGATTGCGAAATCATCGAGCGGGATTTTTGTGCACATTTTACTTTAAAATATTAAGTCTGTGTTTTATTATTATTTATTATTTTAGTACTTTTGAGCACAAATCTTAAAGTTGCATATGCAGTTTTGGCAGCAGAGTTTTAAAACGAATTAATAGAGTTAAAATAATTATTCGTAGACATTTTCCCCGAGGAGTCGTAGCATGGTTACGATATAACATCCCAACTCTTGTATCCATAAATTAATATGATTCATGGACACAATTTAATTATCGTGCTACATGCTTGTTTGCTTTAACGCGACATTGCAATGAAACGAATCGGATGCGAAAACCAGACATAACAGAATTCAAACATCAGCTTGTTAAAGTTGTATTTCTACGGAATGTCACATATTTCTTTCACAATAACAAGATACCAGCACACACACACAATGTATTTTAAAAATTACTCGTAGTAACATAATATCAACGTCTCGAGGATACTTTTTATAATCAATTCAACGAAAATATAATGACCAATAAAGAAGTTAATAGTGTAATCGCTTAAACCACAACACTTAGATTGCATGGAGTAGATGCTCGGTCTTTGTCGCAATTCAATTTCATCATCAAATTTGAATTGATGCAAAAATGACATATAGTTTCGACAATGCCGTTACGTGCTTCAGATAAATTTTGCTTAAAATTGTAGATAGATATAGATAATGCAACGTATCTATAATTCGATACAAATTATTTCGGCACTAGTTGATCTTTATTTCACGATTGTGTTAATAGATTGCCTAACTATTTAATACATATATAAGCTACTTACTTCTTTTCTTTATAATAAGTATTTATATATGAAATTGGAGATAAAGATAATAGTATATAACTAAAAAAAAAAAAAAGACAACTCTAAATATATTACCCCGAGAAAATAGTACTTCGCATTCCTCGGTAGATCATTCTTCGCGCGTGATACGGAGGAAAATCGAGGCGCAGCGGCTGTAACCGTAGTTCAGTCATGCGGCCGAATGCGCAAGATGTAACCGCGTGTGATACCGAGAGTGTCGTCGTCGTCGTCGTCGGGGGCGTAAGTATCCGCGAGCGTGACGCGAGACGAGATGTTGGATGTCAGGCGAGACCGACAAACCGCATCAATCATACTCACTCACTCGCTCGCTCGCATCGTCGTACGCTCTCCCTGGAGCACCGGCGACGTCCCAGGGCCGCTCTATCTTCGGGAGAAAATTGCTTACTCTCATACCGCGAATACGGGAACGTTCCCGGCAGAGACGCGAGCGTGCGAAAAGCCGTGCGGCATCCCCGACGTTGGCCTGCCGAAAAAAAAAGGAATAGAGAAAAAAACGTCGAAGGAGGTAGGAAGAGAGAATAACAACATGACAGCGAAATTACGAGGTCATGACGATGAAATCGATTGCGCAAGGGTCTTTTTATGTGTAATCGGGACAAATGGAAACTTTATCGCGTTAGCGAGATCTTTTACTAAATAATTGTAATATATAAAAAAATTATGTATTTTTTAAACGTATAGATTGTCTGATTTTCAATATTTGTATTATAATAGGAAAAGTAAAAATTATATATCAGAAACCAGAATGTGTGTTTGATAAAGGCACGATTATAATAAATCAAGTATATTGATATTTACGCGATATTTTTGGAAAAAAGGAATTTTTCTATCTTCATGTAAAAAAATTGCAATAAAATTCTTTGTTCACAGTTAATTATATTTGACCCGTTGACCGTATGCGAGAAATTACCAGTATTCTGATAGAAACGCGAGATATGACATCATTGATCTGTTAATCAAACGTCAATACGAATATTACCGCAATGAATGACCACATGTGTAGCTGGTATTACCTTGGCAAACTAGTTCAACAACGCCGGATATACAGCGGGCGGCCGGCTGGCGCCACGAATTTAGTACTTGATTGTCCCGTCGAACAATTGTTTCGCCGGTGGTAAATGCGAAAGAAGAGACCGCGGGTGTCTCTGTCATCTTCTGCCTCTCCCTCTCATTCTGTTGTTGAAGCGGACGCGAGACGACATGAGAGTGAGCATGACTCACTCTCAATCAAGGAGAGAAACATATTAGCGATTGTCTTTACCAATTGGGGATATGTGGGTGATGGTTATCGCCACGGTAAAGAATTACGTACATAAAATATACGTGTATCTCGTAAAGAGAGAGAGAGAGAGAGAGAGAGAGAGAGAGAGAGAAAGAACGATGCGTATAATCATCGCGCGTGTGCGCGAACGCATATGTGGGTATGATCGCATTTTCACACGGCGAAACGCAGATGGACCCCTGCGGGTAGACGAACGATCGTTTTACCGTAAGCATGCGCTATCTGGAAACTAAAACGTAATTGGCAGAAATTGGTTCAATTTAAACCGATTAATCCGGTTCCAGGGGAAGAATCCCGACGCAAATATCGGCCGATCGGTGATTCAATCAAACGTCATTCCAGGTCATGAAATATTTTTTTGAATAATATTTATCGTTTCCTTTATTAATCATGTTAATTTCCGATATTTTTAGAGAAGAATTCTGTTTTTTATAATATGTAGTATATACACAATTTTTAAACATCTAATAATTTAGTAACTATGATATATATTTTATACATGTATACATATGATATAAAATGAATTGATATAATATTTTTAATCTTTATCTTTAAGCCTATTATCAAAAGACTCTGTACCTGTTTATATAGGTTGCAACCTATATAACGTAGAATGATTTCGTCATTGTGGTGCAATGGATCTCAAACTGACAAACAATAACAGCAATGATATTAATGCTGGTATTAATGGAAGCTTTCTCGAATTGTTGTCGTTTATCTAATCGGCCACGCGATCATCACTGTCGTACGCGATTTAAATCCGCGAAGATCGATGGATCCTCGGGCGAGAAATTCTGGCTAATGAAAGCATGCCGGATCGATTAAGTCTCCCTGTGTCATTGATCATGGCAAGACTGCGTTGAATTCACCGTACGAAAACAGTTTTGGCCGCTTTTGGGCGCTTGCGATGAAAACAAAGCTTTCGCCGAGTCATGCATTTAAATATCTATCGTCTCTCACCTCGCGATTTATCGGCTCATTACGTTACTGTGTACCATATAAACAATCGGGATTATCATTAATCCGGATTACTGTATCCAGTCCGAAATGTTCTTGACGACACTCTATTACGTCGAAGATCATTATTCGCAGAACAATGTTTTTCTGCGGATGTAAAAATATTTTTCAAAGATTTGCTTGCGCGTCAAATATTTTCGAAACACAAAACAATATAATCGCTTGCAACAAAGATTTATATCGCGATAAAATTTTTAGCTCATATCTACAGAGAACAGTGACACATTTTACAAAAGATATAAAACTTATGCAAGAGACTTTTGATGTGCCGGAACAGACGTTTACAGTTGTTTCTTTTCGTGCTTGCAAGCATCTTCGCGCTCGTAATTTTCGTGGACCGTCGACGTCAACTCCCGGAAGGATTTGTAGCAAGAG